CAGTGCTTTTTTGAAACAGGGCGCTTATTAAAAAAAAAACTTTGACGTTTATCTAAAAGGATCAAGAAAATGGAAAACGGACTTGCTGTCCTCGGATCTTTCCTGGCTAAAACAAAAGGCCGAGCAATCGCCGAAAAATTTTATGACAAGATCATTCGTTTGAAGAAAGTATGCATTTACATGGACGTAATAGTTGGGAGACTGAGGCCACTGTTTTTGTAATGAGGCTCTAAGAGAGCAATTAAACGAAGATCAACCACTGCAGTTGCAATGTAACAGTATCTAACAGTGCTATCGGCGAGTTAAGTGTACGAACTTATTAAAATGGAATCAATTATTAAGGGAGAAACGTTTCCTCTATCTTATAGTGAGGTTTTTCACCCTAATGTAAAACGAGGTCGTCCCCACCTTTACCGGTTCGCCCCAACTCATTAAACTCGTTTGTAATGCTGTTGAAGTTTTTGGGCTAGTGAGAAGTTCGAAGGTAAGGCAAGATAACTAGTCCTTAAATTTTGCCGCGCAAAAAAGGAGAAAATTATGTGAAACTCGTTAGATTAAGACTGGAGTAACGCAGCGGGTTTGCATTACTCATACACAAGTCGTGCGTTTTTAACACGGCTTGGATTTGCATGTGAAAAAATCATCTTGGTCGCAAAAAATACAACGACTTGGACATGAAAAAAATACGGTTTTGTGGTAGGGAAACAAATCAAAAGATTTGGGGGCGAACTGATAGAGGTGGGTGTGAACTTGTTTTACGTTAGGCGGCGAACTCGAAAAGGGTAATAAGGGGCGAACTTGCAATGGGGCGAGTTCACCATAATCTCTTTCCTGCGGTATACTTAGTTTGACGCACATACAGAATGTCTCCAAGCCTTCAAACCAGCTATAAAGTTCATTTCATCGGTCTTTGCGCAGTGATCGCAATTTATTTCAATCAAATGATTTCCTGTAGTAGTTATTTGCGTTGTCGTTTTTGTCACCATTTGGACGTCGTTTAGGAGGCACCAATTAACACTCAATGGAATTTCGCCACCATGTTAAGCTGCAGGTTGAAAAGTTCAAGAACATTTTGTAGCGCACAGAAGTATGTCAGAGGGCTATCCCCAAAGGACAGAGCTTTTTAAATACGAGTATGCGACGTAATTTTCTAGACAGTGTATAAGTACTCGAATCTAGGATAGCCTTTTCAGTATTTTTTGGAGCATTTCAGAATTTCAACAAAGTTTTAGAAATAAAATCTCGCGTGAAACCAGGCTCATTACAACCCCAGAGATTGTAATTTTGGTACAGAATCCTGTTAATCTCACTTTCTAAAGCGGAATAACAGTGGTCAAATCCATTATTATCAATTATAAACAGTCACTAAAATACTTTTCTTCATGAAAAACCTAATTAGTGGATCGTAATTTATACATATAAGAAATGTTTGGTTTAAATGATGGTGACCCTAAACAGTGGTATGTAACAATATTCATTATTGGTGAAAAACTTAAGGGTTCAACTTTTTTGTTTGCTTGACAACTAACAACTTCTCCAAAGAGTTGGCATGAAATTTCTCATGAGACTCTTATGAGAACAACTTGCTTATGATAAAAGGACGAGTCATATCTGGTGGTCTCTCCGATGAAAACATTTGCCTTTAATTAAGTAAGTGTGCTTTTCATATTTTTAAGTGTTTTGAAGAAAAATCATAGCGCACGGCGTGGGAAACTGACAACGAGGGCAATGTTGAGACTAAGTCGAACTCTTGAAAATGGGCTTATTACTGTACGTTCATGTGAAGTATTGTGTTGGTTAACAGATACAAGTTCTCACAAAGACCGAATCTCACATGAAGTCTACAGTTTATAAACTTAAGATGAAATCCACTCACGAGAGGTCACCAAATATTGGAAAGTTGATGCAACTTAGAGTATTTGTGGTTTAAATTCGAGATGGTTTTATTAACATTTTAGTTTCTCGATAAGATATGCACTGTACACCAATGCAACTTGGCTGGCATTGTTTTACGAAACGGCCTGAGGTGTGTTTCAAAAACACTCGCCTAGTTTTTGACAGACCGAACCATCACACAAACGTAGTCTATTCTTATTTATGACATTAACTACTCGTCATTCATTAAATCGTTCAAATTATTACACTCTTTAACACCCGTCATTATCTTCATTATCTTCCTGAGTGGCAATTGCCTCAAAAAGCCAAAGTGTCCTTCCTTCTTTTGAAAGATCTCTACAAGTTACCCATCCATGGAGACTAAGGGGCTGTGAGTCGATTTCAAGTAAGGGCAGAAGAGCCCTGGGGACATTGTCTTACAAGACGAAAACGATCGCAGTTGTTCTGGCATCTGATTGGTGCCCGAAAATCTTTGTGTTTTTCTGCTCAATCAGAATGAAAGTATGCTTTGGAGTCCTTTCATGTGTTTAACACGGAGATGTATAAAAGCTCAATTGCTCGCCTTGTTTGTTTAGGCCGTGCGACGATGCTTTGCTCGAGGTGAAAAGTTTCAGTCTCAGCACACAATGTAAGAGAAATCGATCAGATTGTCCGCGAAAATCTTACCAGAAATTATACTGAATACTTTCGCAGGTATCACAAGAGATTTAAAGTATTTAAAGTTTGCGAGGTTCGTATAAAACATAATGGTGGCAGGCGTTAATATATCGCTTTAAACGTTAGACGAGATGTAAGCTCAAATCGTTCTAGATTTCTCGTATAATTTGCTGTGAGTGAAACTTTGCCAACCCGTGAAGTTATTTTGTCGCACGGGCCACGCAGGTATGTCAAGCAATTGGCGCTTAGGCTTACGTAGCTTTCTGTGCGCGCCAAAATCTAACCCCTACGCAATAGTAAAGTCTTTCACAATACTATGGCCAAGATTGCAGAAAACGTCAAGTTCGTGGACGACCTCCAGCAAGCGCTTAGAGAGAGCTTAGCTGTGTTTCCAGATAGCGAGTTAAAATATGAACAAAAACTTACTATCGAGAACATTGTGGGAAGGAGAGATGTTTTCGGACAATTACCGACGGTGTTTGGAAAAAGCGTAATCTTTTCAGCTGCTGCCATGACAAAGGCATACCGTTTTTTTTTTTTTTTTTTGTCTGTCACCTCCCAGTTACAATTACGTTTCCATGATGTTTCAATTCTATAGCGACAAGTGTCGAAAATTGCACGCGGATGGCCATCGTCTGGTAGAACTTTTTGATTGAAAACTTCCTTAAATATTTTCATAAACTCGCCTTTAAGGTTTCTTTTTCTCTTAATTTTGATAAAAAAAAAGAGCATACTCGAAAACGGTCTGAAATATTTTCACTTAGATTATTAACACTCATCGTAAAAAAAACCCTGAACCTTCCCTAAACAACTAGTCGAAGGAGATTTGATTTTGACGCGCACAGAAAGTACGCAAGCGTAAGCGCCAGTTGCTTGACATACCTGCGTGGCCCGTGCGACGAAATAACTTCACGGGATTGGCAAAGTTTCACTCACAGCAAATTACACGAGAAATCTAGAACAATTTAAGCTTACATCTCGTCTAACGTTTAAAGTGACATATTAACGCCTGCAACCATTGTTTTGTACGAACCTCGCAAACTTTTAAATACGTTCTCCTGTGATACCTACGTCGCACGGCCTAAACAAACAAGGCGAGCAACTGAGCTTCTTGTACATCTCCGTGTTAAAACACACGAAAGGACTCTAAAGCATACTTCACTATGATCGGGCAGAAAAACACAAAGATTTTCTGGCACCAATCAGATACAAGAACGACTGCGACCGTTTGGAACTAGTCTTGTAAGACAATGTCCCCAGGGGCTCTTCCGCCCTGACTTGAAATCGACTCACAGCCCCTGGGTCTCCGAGGATGCAAGTTACCTTACTTTACGCTCGTAGAGCATCTAATTGAAAAATTAATATTTCCATATATGAAGGCGGGCATGAGAAAGGATTTGGTCAAGATGATGGCTTTAGTATTTGTTTGCAGTGTGGGCCGTAAGGCCGGTAAACGAGCGGTGGAATCGCTAGTGAAGGAACTACTTAATTTTTTGTTTGATTAGCATACCTCTCCTGTCTCCGTCACTTGTAATGACATCAAGAAGGTGTTATTCGTGACCTACAAAATATTCTGGTACCCTTAAAAATTCGTTTTTAACCCCAACATCTCATTACTAATTCTCCTTGCTGACTTCTACGCAATTCTTATGATGTTAGTTTGGAGGATTTGGTATCCGATCAACTAATAATCCCCTAATTAATATTTTTCTTTATTCTCAGCTTTTGACTGCTTCATAATGTATTGAAATTGTAAGGAGAAATTCTGTTCTGGTCAATCATGGGAGTTAAGAGAGTAAAAAGGGGAAGCCTAAGTTTTTGGCAAGGTTTTTTTTCAATGACATAAAGGCAGTTTTAAATTGAAAGAACTTCTTTTTGTGTATTTGGTAGTCCATGATATGTAAATTTGTGTCTCATTGTAACTAAAGGATAAAAATTTTACAATTTATTTTGTTGAACTGATGGCGAGTCGCTCTCGCCTTCATACCAAGCAAAAAAGTTGATTTATTTGTTCTGCAGTGTTGTTGAGAAACCTTTTTCCTCTTACTTTTTGAGACTTTTCATTGCTGATATCGCTGTTTTTATTTTTAAATAACATGCAAAAAGGCGAAGTTCAGTTTATGATGAGAAATTTTCTAAAAGCAAAACAGCAGAAAAATAGAATTTTTTTTTCATGGGGACGAAATTAAGTCTTTCCAACGCACATCGCATGTATATGCTGCGTTATTATGGTAAACTTGTTCGAGAAATTTATGGTGATATAATAAACTCGCTGGAACCAATTAGAATCAGTGTTTGACGATGGGTGCAATTATTTATAGATAAACATACAAGCGAGTGCAGAGAATAATGTCTGAAAACTTTCAGTTTATCTAAAAAAATTCATTACCCAGACTTGTGTAAGCTTTACAAATTGCCTTATTTTCATTGTCCGAATTGAAAACTGTATTTATGTATCATTGTATTACATTATCAAAAGTGGCGGCAATAAAATTTCTCACGGAGGAGGTGGTGGCTTGTGAAATTGAAGATGACCCCTGATGCAATGTCGAAATACTTAATTTCACATCTACAGTATGTAAAACATTCTTGGGTGAGGGAGGAGGGGGAAAGGGTATAAGCGAAAGCCGGCTGGTCCACATCCTGCACGATGACATCAAAATCTGTGTTGATCCACAAATTCAGAGACGTCTTGGATTATTTCCAAATGTAATATTTCTATCCCATAATTTTATCTTGACCATTTGCATCGCGAGTCCCACTTGAATACAAAAAAAACAATCCGTTAAACCTAATCAAGCAATCTCATTTTGCGTATTTCCTCGAATAAGCAGCGGAGCGCTATTCTATAATTTCGGCTGAAAGGAGAGGCACTTATTGGGAGGAGGGCGCTTATTAAGAAATTATTAACGTGTATTGATTCAACTGTAGTTGAAAGTTAAAAAATTATAAATAAAGGGCCAAAGAAACAGGTTTTCTTTGTATCTAAGAAAGTGAGGGAGGAGTTGGGGAAGAGCTTATTCCAGCGGGGGGACGCGCGCTTTAAACGCAATAAAACAAGCCTTTCTCCCGGTAGGAGTCATTTGGAGTTTTAAACTTCATCTTACAGCGGACATCTAACTATCTGTTTTTATTATTTCTTGTTGACAGGGACTTATCCCATAATCAGTTACAGGACTTACCCCCAGGAGTTTTCAGCAGCCTTTATCGTTTCTATAGACTGTAAGTACTGACTAACATTATCTTTATTCATCACGGTAACGTCCACACGAGTAAGTCGAGGGCCCGAAACAGTTTCACGCAGAATTCCACTACTTGCAAATGAAAACGTACAATCGGTTGAGAAAAAAAAAAATAAAGGCTTGCAACAAAACACCGTCTAATTCTTCACTCCTCCCCCCCTCAAAAACCCCAAGACCCGCCATGCTAGGACCAGAAACTGGCCTCAAAATCAAACTCAACCTTGTATCAAGGGTGGGGTAGGGGAGGCAAAGACCAGAACCAGGTAAGTACAAGTTATACAAGACTTTTTGCCACCTTATCTTAGGTTTTCAGCAGTTTGTAGCCCCCAGGAGCAGTTGTTATCAGAGCTCAGTTACGACATGAAAATCTTGTAATGGGAAATTCATTTGGTTTCGGGTTCGGGTGCATTAATCATTAAGTGACTCGGTAGTTCGTTCAGTTTACAAGACATAATTGTTATTTATGTAATGTAAATAATACGGACCGACCTTGGTTGGTGAAAACCATTTGTTTTGAAGAGTTAAACAAATGCTTGCTAAAAGAGCGTTTATGATTAAGAACTTTATTTACGGCAAGACCCTCCCGGCTATAAACTGAAAAAAAAGTTCTGGCGAGTAGATAGTATAGAAAAAAAAAAGTTGATGCAAATCAAAGAGAGAGGCTTCACTCAAACAGTTTTATTTGCGTAAAGATAAAGGTAATTTAAAGGGCTTCCAAGCAATCTTTGTAACATGACTATCATGACGATGTATTCTTTAAAACAATCAGTGATGTTAAGGAGAGTATTATTCAGTTCCATCGGCGATTAATCCACGTAGATTTACCTCTGTTCAATTTTAAGTGACAAAGAAAGTCAGTGTCATCATTTTTAAATGTATGTTTTGAAGTTGTGAGAGTCTGTTCGTTTGTTTGCTGCACCGGCGTGCGCAAATCTTGTCCTTCTTCCACCGAAAAACTGAAGTCAAGTGAGACACTATTCAGACACAAGAGATTTCATGCTGCATTTATTCATGCCATGAAAATCCCTCGGTTTCTGTTGTGCAACTTACAATAGAAATGTCCAAATTTCAATGGACTTGCCAAAAGTGTATTTGTAGTAGATCGTAGAACTCAAAACATCGCTTGGCGTTTAAAAACGATCAAACTGTTTTGGCGATTTCGAACAGTTAGTTAAATTTATTGTAAATGTGAACAAGTACCTTGCTTTCCGAGTTGCTGTTGGTGAAGGATTTTTTAAGTTACAAACGGTTTTTAGGCCGCGTGTCAACCCATTTTATAACTCATAATTTGCAACCACAAATTTGTCATTTGGAACCGCCCTTAGTCTTGCTACTTGAATGATTACCCTTCTCTGAAAGTTGTTTCACTATTTCATGACGGAGACTGAAATTCTTTTAAAACCACCTACATCGTAACAGCATTTATTTACGTTAAATTAGCGACGCAATACATCTGAGAATACAATCAATAAGTAAAATGTTGGCACCAAACGTGTAGCTTCGCTATCACTCGACCATCATTAGGGTGATTCATTATCAAACTCACCCGATCCATATACCAAGAAAAATAATTTTTTCGACATGTTTATTAAATCAGTTCATCTCAAAACAAGAGGTTGTCACAGATATAACACTTATTGAAATTCCACAAGTTTTACGCACTTATTACTGTAACTATTCGTTTACAAAGCCTAAAATTTCCACT